TGTAAGGGGCATGCCTAGGGGTACGCACAGGCTCAGGATTGGTGTGCCTCCAGGCTTGGAGGGTTTGCTCTGTGTTGATTGGCTAACTGGTTATTATGGCCCATAGGCCCTCCAAAGTTGGTCGCTATGCTCTGTGCGTCATTGCTGTGCGCTTGTCCGTAAAGCACACCCAGAGCCGTAAAGCATAGAACCACCAGTTAACTTCTGATTGGTCCCTTGCCACGAGGCAGGCATCTGACTTCCTAGTGACCAAGGCAAGGTCTGGCAAGCAAGTGTTCAGCTGTTATGGCTGCCGAAAGGGGCAGGCATCTGACCTTAGTGACTAAGACAAGGTCAGACAAATACGTGTTCGGCTGTTATGGCTGCCGAAATGGGGAGCTGGTCCCTTCAACTGTATACTTGGAAGGATGCCCTTGAATTACTATCCTCCTAACCCTACTTCTTTGCCCCATTTTAAACTACATTTGTGTGTGAGATGTTCTAAGTGATGGTCAGAGGACAACCTGTGGGAATCAATTCTCTCCTTCAGATATGTGGGTCCTAAATGTTACTCTCATGTCCTCAGGCTTGGCAGCAAGCACCTTTACCTACTAAACCATGTTATGGGTGCCTGCTCTGCTTCTTTTTTAAAATTTGATTTTATATGTATGGGTGTTTTGCCTATGTGCTTGTCTGTGCACATGTATGTCTGGTGCCCACAGAGGCCATAAGAGATCATTGGATCCCCCAGAACTGGAATTACAGACAGTTATGAGTTGTCATGAGTGTTGGGAATCACACCCAGGTCCTGTGGATGAGGACACAATTCTTGCCACTGAGCCCCTGCCTCTACTTCATGAGTGCTGGGATAACAAATGTACACTACCATGCCTGGCTTAATAGTTACTGGGATGAAATCCAGCTCTTCACGAGTCCCAAGCAAGTGCTCTACCAACTGAGCCATAGTTTTTTTTTCTTTATTTTATTTTATTTTACTTTATTTTTTGAGACAGGGTTTCTATGTGTAACAGCTCTGGCTGTCCTGGAACTAGTTCTGTAGACCAGGCTAGCCTTGAACTCAGAAATCTGCTTGCCTCTGTCTCCCAAGTACTGGGATTAAAGGTGTGTGTCACCACCACCTGGCAAAATGTGTAGCCCAGGCTGGCCTCGAACTCAAGATCCTCCTGTCTCCACCTCCTTCAGCAAATCCTATCAGCCTGTGCCCCCACAACATGCCTGAGCCATATACCTCCCGAGTGCTGGGATTAAAGGCTTGCGCCATCACCGCCTGGCTCTGAGCCATATTCTTAATCTCTTTTTTCAGTTGTTTGAGGCAAGGTCTTATTATGTAGCCCAGGCTAGCCTAGAATTGGTGATCCTCTTGCCTCAGCCTCTTGTGTGCTAGAGACATACACAACTCAGGCTCTATTCTGTGTAAAGAGAGGGGTGCACAGCAAATGTAGAGATGAATGTTTCCTTTCTCTCTCTGTCTCGCTCTGTCTCTCTCACTCTCTCTGTGAGACAGGGTTTCTCTCTGTAGCCCTAGCTGTCCTGGCACTCGCTCTGTAGACAAGGCTGGCCTTGAACTCACAGAGATTCTCCTACCTCTGCCTCCAGAGTATTGGGATTAAAGGTGTGTGGCTCTTTTTTTTCTTTTCTTTCTTTTTTTTTTTTTTTTTTGTTTTGAACAGAGTCTAGGACCATAGGCATGCTCCTCCACTGCCACCTGATCTCTTTTTTATTTGTTTCTTTTCTTTTTTTAAGACAGGGTTTTTCTGTGTAGCCCTGGCTGTCCATGAACTCCCTCTGTAGACGAGGCTGACCTTGAACTCAGAGAGATCTCCCTGCTTTTGCCTTCTGAGTGTTGGGATTAAAGATATGTACCACCATGATCGACTCTTCCTTGTTTCTTTTAATTTTTTATTTTTTTGGTCTTTTTTGAGATAGAGTTTCACTATGTAACCCTGGCTGTCCTGGAACTCACTCTGTGGACCAGGCTGGCCTCTCTCCCGTTTGTTCCTTATGGTATTACCATAAATGGTCACCCCCCACATACACTGTAATGTCCTTGAAAACTAAATATCTTTTATCTTAGTGCCTGATGCAGGAACAAAAGGAAATTGCCCCTTTGTCCTCTGAATGTTTCTGGAATAACCAGAAAGGGGTTAAGGGTACAGCTGAAAGTAAGAGGCCCTTCTAAAATTCCTCCAGTGAGGAAGGGACTGGGAACTAGAATCACTGGTAGAGTCCCTGCCTAGAATCTCCCAGTGAAAGGCGGGGCTATGGCGTGGTATCATGCCTGTAATGGTATGTAAAAAAGGCCCAGTTCATAGTTCTTCAGCTGGTATACCCTGTCTTTCTCCTCCCAGTTCTTATGGTGAGTCTCTGGCCTGTGCCTGCCCTTTCCTAAGTGTGTTGAGCTGCCCACCCCTTACTCCCCTGGCAGCCCATGGACAGAAACCTTACACTGCACTGCCAGGAGGTGGATGGTGAGCCTCAGAACCACCTCAGCATGGTGCTATTCCATGGGAGGAAGAGTTGACCTGACAGCTCGTGTAAGATGAGGGATTCTTACAGAGGTCACAGCCATAGTGTTAGAATAGAAGCAACCATGTGGCCACTTTCTCCTGCCATGCCAAACTGGACCTCCAGCCACAAGGGTTGAGGCTGTACCAGAATACCTCAGCCCCAGACAGCTGTGAGCTTTCAGTAAAGGGTTTGAGCTGAGCCAGAGCAGTAGGTGTCCAAGCTGAGAAGGTACAAGCATGCCATTGGGCAGGGTGGCTCTAGAAGTGACTTGAGAATGAATGTGCCCCTGGAACTGGGTTGGACTTGTAAGATGGCTCTAAGATTGACTGTGCTAGCCGGGCAATGGTGGCACACACCTTTAATTCCAGCACTTGGGAGGCAGAGGCAGGCATATCTCAGTGAGTTCAAGGCCAGCCTGGTCTACAAAACCAAGTTCCAGGACAGCCAGGACTCTTACACAGAGAAACCCTACCCTGTCTTGAGAAATCAAAATAAGAAAGAAAAAAAAATCGACTGTGCTAAATGTCTGTCCCAGTAGTCTCTGTGTGGAAACATAGGACTACCCTCTGAAAGTATGACAGCCCTGAAAGGTATTCTGGCAGTTGGGAGCCAAGGAAAACCACAAAGTCACACAGCATAACAAAGCTCACACAAGAGATTTATTGGAAAAGCACAGGAGGGTGGCTGCCTCTGCTTAGGAAAGAACTGAACAGGAAACAGACATATAGGTTTTTTTGGGGGGTGGGGAGGGGATTCCAGGGTATATTGGGATTTGTGCGATTTTGTAGCCTGATCTTGGGTTTCTTTGTAGGAAAGAGCTTGGCTGCCTGGGGGGGCGGGATCTGGACATTCACACACCCACAAGGGGTTGGGTTTGGCCATTAGAGTAGTCTAGATGCAGGGCCTGGCCACTTGTACCTCAAGAGGCTTACGTACACCTCCTAAAGTGCCAGGTCCAGGACAATGCAGCACAAAGCTCCAGCATGAGGGCTCCAAGCATGAGGTGTATGTGTCAACCTAAGCCACAATGCACCTATCACTGCCAGCCCAAGGCAAGGGTCAACGAACGACACCTTTGTCATAATGATTGGCATTCAAGGTAAGAGGGGATCCTGTAAGGTCTTCCAGGGCCCATTTAGCAGGAGCCCAGGGCACACATATTTAGCTGGGTATCTCCGTGCAGATCAGGGCTCCTGGTTGGTCATCATTATCATAGAGCTGTTCATGCCCCAGTGTGTGGGGACCATTCAGAACCAGAGTGGCAGCTACCCCCTGAGAAACAAACGCAAGCACCTCTGTGCCTCTCAGGCCACTGCAGTCTGAAGACACAGTCCTAGAAGAGTTACCCTGAGCTGGAGGAATCTTAGGTCAAGATTGCTGGTGACTGGGCTGTATCAAGTTTCACATCAATAAAACCTTCAAATTCTATGGCTTGTGTTTTGATTTTTTTTCTGAGAAACAAAATGCCCCAACAGTTTATTTCAGTAAGTAAATCCAGAAAATGTTTGAGAAAGCACATTATAATAATAATTATTATTGTTATTGGAGAGCACTTGCCCATACACTCCTGAAAACAGCTTTCTGCTTCGAGATCCATGTCTGTCATTATCAACTGCTGATCTTCTTTCCTGATTCTGACATTGCCAGTTCATGTTTACCCTTTTGCTTCCTAGGCTAGACATCTGTCTCTAGCACTCCTACCAAGTGGTATGGGGATGCAAACTCGGATTGCCATGCCTAGCAATAGGTGCTTCTTTTTCTTTTTTCTTTTCTTTTTTTTTTTGAGACTGAGTCTTCCTATGCAGATCAGGCTGGCCTGGGATTCACAGAATCACTTTGTAGGCCCTCAGAATACTGGGATAATGCCAGGTTTTGTTTTGTTGTTGTTTTGGTTTTTTGAGACAGGGTTTCTCTGTGTAACAGTCCTGGCTGTCCTGGAATTTACTCTGTAGACCAGGCTGGCCTTGAACTCACATCCGCCTGCCTCTGCCTCCAAGTGCTGGGATTAAAGGCGTGTGCCGACACCACCCAGCATTTGGTTGGGTTTCTTTACTTTTTGAATCATGCTGGTCTCGAACTTGAGTGGTGTGGTAAGTACAGCCGACTTTCAGCTTTTGATCCTGCTACATCAATTTCATCACCGCACCTAGTTTTTGTCTACGGTTTGACTCGTTTTCCCCTTTGAGACAGGATCTCCACGATCCTGATTGGGATGCAGCTGAGGATGACATCAGAAGATATCCCGCCTTTACCTCCCAAGAGCTGAGATTACAGGTGTGTGCCTCACTCGCTCTTCAGGCGGAGGTGTAGACAGGATGGATTTTCGTCATTACCTTGCAGCAGCTCCGCCCTTCTCAATGGCTAAGAGTCAGGAGAAGGGGGCGGCGCTCGATCCAGCCAATAGGCTGAAGGGGGCTGGGCAAGAGGCGGGACTTCCACTAACCAATCAGTACGCGCGCCCTCCTTGCCGCTCTATGTCGCTCCGCCCTGAGCTCGCTGGTCCCAGAAGGCGCCGGGTTTCCCAAGATGGCGGCCGACGTGTCCGTTACTCACCGGCCGCCGCTCAGCCCGGAGGCGGAGGCCGAAGCGGAAACTCCCGAGACCGCCGATCGTCGAGCGCCTGAACAAGAGTTGCTACCGCTCGATCCGGAAGAGATCCGGAAACGCCTGGAACATACTGAACGCCAGTTCCGTAACCGCCGCAAGATACTGATCCGAGGCCTCCCGGGGGACGTGACCAACCAGGTATGGGGGGGTGAGAGCGTGGCGGGAAATACCACGGTGCGCGTGCGCAGGGGGAAACCAGGCGGTACCAACGCTGCTGAGTGCGGGGGCTTTGCCCAGAGTCTTACCCTCTCCCTGGTTCGGGTTAAGAACGAGGTGGAAAGGGCACGATCGGGAAGGGCACAAAACCAACTTTGGACTACGGACCAGCGTTGCTAGGGGCGACACCGGGCTCGGGCGACACCAAGGGACAGGTAGTTTCAGGGGGCGCGCCGCTGTGGCCTCACTGAAGTGTGTGCAGGGCACTGTGAATGGGTTGATTGAAATAGGGACTCCAGCTGGTCCGTGCATACTCAGCGGGTGCTTTCCCTCTTCTGTCATGGGGTGGCGGGAGCTCAGATCTGGAAGTGTCAGGGTTAGGGTGAATCCACACCTTTAAGATGTCCACACGGGAGTTGGAGCTGCATCCTTCCCTTCTAGAAAACGAAATCTTCTCCCTTCGACATGAACGGGCAGGGAGGGTGGGGTTGAGGTGGGATTGTGTATTTTGTGGCACTTCCCTGTGGCTAATCTTGTCTGCCGGAAGTGCCCTTCTCTTGGGTACCTACATGGAGCAGGGCGTGCAATGCTCTTTGAACCCAAGAAAGTGGTATCAATGTGGCCCTGCCCCGTTGGTGGTGACATAGGACCTTTCTGCTTGCTGCTAAGGACCTCTGCTCATTGGCTCACCCTAGCACCTACTACTGTGTGGACACATGGCTTTTGAAGCTCCAGAGGTGTGGGGAACACGATATGGGGACAGACCTGGATAGACACCTGTGGCATGGTGTAGTGCATATATGAATCTGTGTATTGGACTCATACACAGGTCATCAGGTGCAAGCAGGCCAGGCAGCTTGCCTTGGAAGCCAGCCCTGTCATCATGAGGGAGTTTGGGGGTGACCCTTGCAGACAGCCACACAGAATATGGTCATTAAGTGTATGGCGTCCCTGGTCGGGTACCCCAGATAGCATGCTCCCTGTTGGCCTGACAATTTGTGTGGTTCACCTCTTACAGCCTCAGTTTCCTTGTGGACAAAATGGCTAAGTAATTAGCTCTAAAATTGGTGGGATCTTCCATAGGGAATCAGACAAGTTGGGTAACCTCCATGATGGCATTTGGTTTGAGTTGTTAGTGTTCCCAGCATGTAATCTACAACCTTGCCCTGCACAGCCTTGGATAGAAGATAGTTGTTACAGTAAAATGGAGATGTTCATTTATCTTCCTATGTGGCTGGTCCACTTACAGGTAGGCCTGGCTAGTGACTCCCCAATTCTGATTGTGTCTCTGCAGGAAGTACATGATCTTCTGAGCGACTACGAACTCAAGTACTGTTTTGTGGACAAATACAAAGGGACAGGTTTGTGGGCCATGGGTGGACCAGGGCAAGGATGACAGTCCCCAACTGACAGGAGGGACTTGGCTCAGCATTTATTATCCTGCACTGTGGGTCCCATATTGTCCTAGAGGATGGGCTCAAAAGGAGCTCCTGTCTGATCCTTGTCCTGACTTTCCATTTCTTAACTTTTTTTTTGAGACAGGACCAATATAGTCCTGGCTGGCCTGAAACTCGGTAGATCAGGTTGGCCTTGAAATCACAGAGATCAACCTTCCTGCCTTTGTTTCCTGAGTGCTGGGATTAGAGGTGTGCACCACCATGCCAGCTTTGTTGTTGGGGTGTGTGTGTGTGTGTGATGCTGAGCTTGAAGTTGGGGCCTTACACGTGCTCTACTGATGAGGTGCAGCCTTAGTCCTGACATTTTTTTTATTATTTGTATTTTGTGGTGCTAAAGATGAATACTCTTAATGCTGAACTACATCCCCAGCCCTCCGTTTGTGGTTTTGAGACAGTGTGTCATGTAGCTCAAGGTGGCCTCAACTCAATGTGTTACCAAGGATGAGATGAGCTTGCATTTCTGTCCTTCTGCTTCAGTCTTCCCCGTGTTGAAGTCACAGGTGTGTTCTACCACACCTGGCCTATAGATGGAGCCCAAGGCCTCATGCATGCTAGGCAAGCACTGTACCAACTGAGCTGTGTTCCCAGTCCCAGCCCTTGTTTTGTTGTTGTTGTTGTTGTTTTGGTTTTTGGAGACAGGGTTTCTCTATAGCTTTGGAGGCTGCCCTGGAACTAGCTCTGTAGACCAGGATGGTCTCGAACTCTCAGAGATCTGACTGCCTCTGCCTCCCAGTGCTGGGACTAAAGACGTGCACCACCACTGCCTGGCCCAGCCCTTGGTTTTTTAGGGCTGCTATGGGAGGTGTCAGGGAGAGGGACTGGTGGGAATCCAAGGCTTGTTGGTTTGTGCTTGCCAATGGCAGTTGATGTTCCTGGTTTTGCCATCACATCCAGTTTAGAGGACCCAGGTTAGGGAGTCAGAAGTTCACTCTGACCCTAAGTCCTCTTGTACTTCGCAGCTTTTGTGACCCTACTGAATGGGGAGCAGGCTGAAGCTGCCATCAACGCCTTCCACCAGAGCCGCCTTCGAGAGCGGGAGCTGTCAGTTCAGTTGCAGCCTACCGATGCTCTATTGTGCGTGGCCAACCTGCCACCCAGCCTGACACAGGCACAGTTTGAGGAGCTGGTGCGGCCCTTTGGCAGCCTGGAGCGCTGCTTCCTAGTGTACAGCGAGCGAACAGGCCACTCTAAGGGCTATGGCTTTGCAGAGTACATGAAGAAAGACTCGGCTGCCAGGGCCAAGTCCGATTTGTTGGGCAAGCCACTGGGCCCACGCACATTGTATGTGCACTGGACAGATGCAGGGCAGCTGACTCCTGCCTTGTTGCACTCCCGGTGCCTCTGTGTGGACCACCTGCCACCAGGCTTCAGTGATGTGGATGCTCTGCGCCAGGCACTGTCAGCCGTCTATACCCCCACCTTCTGTCAGGTAAGTCCTAGACCCTTTGATGAAGCAGCCGTCACACAGTTTTGAATGGGGTTCCTGGGAGAGGTTCTGGGGTATGGTGGTTAGAGCCCAGATGTTCCAAAGGTCTGAATGCAAATCCTCAGCTTACTTATTATAAGTATCATGGGAGTCCTGTTCATGCACTCATCATTCACTCACTCATTACTTTATGCTATGTAGCCCAGGCTAGCCTAAAAACACTATCCTCTTTCCTACCCTTCATGATTGCCAGAATTATGGGTAGGGTGGCACTCTGCCTGGCTCATGTTGTTCATTTTATTTTGAGATAGAATCTCGTGTAGCCCATATTGACGAACTTGGAATGTAGCTGAGGATGAGCTTGAATTCCAGATCCTCCAGGCTCTGCTTCTCAAGTAGGGCGTGTTCCACCATGCTAAGTTTATGTGGTGTAGGGGTTATAATTCCCTAGGGCTTCCTGCATTCTAGGCAAGTACTCTACCTGCTCAGCCCCAGCCCCAGTTCTCATCAAAGGCTTCTTGAGCCTCTGTGGGATCCCAGCACCAAGCCAGGGTTGGATGGATTCCACCCTTCTATATCCTTGGCAAGTCCCTCTGTCCGCACCTTGTTCTCTCTTGTCTTCCCCACCCTTTTTCTAGACAGGTCTCATTTGTAGCCCTGGCTAGCCTAGAACTTAGAGATCTGCCTGCCTTTGCTTCCTGAGTGCAGGAATTAAAGACATTCACCACAGTACTTAGCCTAGAGAGGCTAAGTATTAAAAGGGTTTCTGTTACAACCCCCGCCCAGACAGGGTTTCTCTGTGTTATTGTTTTGGAGGCTGTCCTGGAACTTGCTCTGTAGACCGGGCTGGTCTCCAACTCACAGAGATCTGCCTGCCTCTGCCTCTGCAGAGTTTCAGAGGTTTTAGTTCATTATTATCATAATGAGACACGGTGCTGGCTATAGTCTTGATCAGAAGGAAACAGGAAGTGAACTGTGATACTGGGAGATGCTTGAGCATAGGAGAACTCAAAGGCGCCCCCCCTCCCCCAGTGACACACTTTTTCCAACAAGGTTACTCCTAATAGTGCCACTCCCTTTGGAGTCCATTTTCTTTCAAACCACCACAGTATCTTTTAAAAAACAAAACAAAACAAAACAGCAAACTTTTATATACTTATTTGTATATCTCTGTTTACGTGTGCATACAAGCCTGCATACTGCAGTACCTGTACAGGTTCAGAGGACAGCTTACAGGCCTCATTTCTTCTTCAACCAAGTGGATACTGGGATCAAACTCAGTCTGTGAGGATTATAGGGAGCTTCTTTGCCTACTGAGACCTTTTACTGGCCCTTGTGAATTATTATAAAAGCTTGCCCCTTCATTCTTGTGTTTCTGTGTATTTATTTATTTTGCCAGTGCTGGGAAAGGAAGTCAGGGCCTTGCCCAGCAAGTGCTTTACCATAGAGCTATATTGCAGCTCCTCATTATATACTTACTGAGTGTGGAGTCCACAGTTGTGTTCTGGTGCCCTGAATAGAAAGAACACGGACTTGAGGGTCGGACAGATCAAGGTCTAGGTCTCCATCTCCCTGTTGAGAACTCATGTGGTCCTGGTCACACTGGGACCCCTTTGCATCTGTCTGTTCATAAGATGAGCACAGTTATGGGCCTTGGGTGTGGTTCATGGGTAGAGCGCCTGCCTAGAATCCACCAAGGAGGGGCTGGGGTGTGGCTCGGCTGTAGAACAGCTGCTTGGCCTGCACAAGGATCTAGATTCATTCCAGCTCAGTAGTAAGGACAAGCCTGATGACATGAGTTTGATTCCTGGACCTTACACTGTAGAAAGAGAACCAATTCCCTCAGGTTGTCCCCTGATCTCCACACATGTCCCATGACACAACACACATGAACTCACACACACATGAAATAAAATATTTTTTTACAAGTAATAAAGCACTGGGCATAATGATACACACACACTTTTTTTCTCTCTCTGTTTCCTTTTTTTTTTTTTTAAATGGGGTCTCTCTACATAGCCCTGACTGTCCAGGAACTCACCCTGTAGACCAGGCTGATCCTGAACTCAGAGATCCTCCACCTGACTCTGCCTCCTGAGTGCTAGAATTAAAGGTATGTGCCACCAAGTCTTGCTGTGATATATGCCTTTAAATCCTAGTTCTGCATAAGTAGAGGCAGAAAGATCTCTGAGTTCAAGGCCAGCTTGGGCTACATAGTGAGACCCTGTCTTTAAAAAAAGTAAGAAGACTGGATGAGGGCTCCACCTGCCTGGGCTCACAGTCAGGGAGCTGCTATGGAAATATACTTAGTAACAGTCTTCCTGGGCTGAAAGTACAGCTTGGGGACATGTTCCATGTCTATTGTACCTGATTTTATGCTTGGATCCTCTCATTGCTTTCCCTGCCTGGGTTCTCCGTGGGTGCTGGGAACTAAACCTGGGCCCTATTGATTGGTGCTTACCTGCTGTATGTTTGTTTGTCTTTTCAAGTCAGGGTTTCACTGTGTAACAGCCTTAACTGTCCTAGAACTAGCATTGTAGATCAGGCTAGCCTCAAACTCAAAAGATCTGCCTGCCTCAGCCTCCTTACTGCTGGGATTAAAGGTGTGCATCACTGCCTGGCTTCTTGGCCGAGCAAGGGCTGATATTTTACTACTACTACTTTACTTCTTTTTTTTTTTTTTTTTTAACTTTTTCAAGATTTATCTAATTTATTTATTTATTTATTTATTTATTTATTTATTTTGGTTTTTGAGGCAGGGTTTCTCTGTGGCTTTGGAGGCTGTCCTGTAACTAGCTCTTGTAGACCAGGCTGGTCTCGAACTCACAGAGATCCACCTGTCTCTGCCTCCTGAATGCTGGGATGAAAGGCGTGCGCCACCAATGCCCGGCTTCCCGATTTATTTATTATGTTACTAAGTATATTTCCATATACGGTGTTCTGCCTTCATGTATGCCTGCAGGCCAGAAGAAGGCACAGCATCTCTAAAGATAGTTGTAAGCCACCATGTAGTTGCTGGGAATTGAACTCAGAACCTCTGGAAGAGCAGGCAGTGCTCTTAACCTCTGAGCCATCTCTCCAGCCTGATATTTTACTTCTGAGACAAGTTATCATGAGGTAGCCAAGGCTATTTTGAAATTTGCTATGTAGTTATGGCCAGCTTTGAACTCTTGACCTTCTTGCTGTGGTTACAGGGGTATGCCAACGTACCAAGACTTTATCTTGCCATCTTTTTTTTCTCCCTTATTCCTTTTCTCTTTCTTTTGAGACATTCTCTTTCAAAATAGTGTCTCACTGTGTAAACACAGCACTGAAGGTGGAGACAGGAAGATCCCTTCCTATTTTCCAGTTTAGCCCAGAAAGTGTGAGCCCCAGGTTCAGGAGAGAACCTGTCTCAAAGGAATGGAGAATGAATAGGGAACAGTTGTCCTTCTCTGTACATGACTGACACACACAAAACACACACACACACACACCCCAAAAACCTATTTTCTTGCTGGGCACCTTTAATCCCAGTGCACACCTTTAATCCCAGCACTTGGGAGGCAGAGGCTGGCAGATCTCTGAGTTCAAGACCGCCTGGTCTACAAAGTGAGTTCCAGGACAGCCTCCAAAGCCACAGAGAAACCCTGACTCAACAAACCCCAAAAATGCCAGCAGTAGTAGTACACGGCTTTAATCCCAGCACTCTGGAGGCAGAAGCAGGTGGATCTCTGTGAGTTTGAGACCAGCATGGTCTACAGGACTTACTTCCAGGACAGCCTCCAAAGCCACAAAGAAACCCTGTCTCGAAAAAGAAAAAACAAAACAAAAAAACAAAAACCTATTTTCTTGAAGGGTTGGGTGTGGCAGCATGTGCCTTTAATCCAACACCCAGGAGGCAGAGTCAGGCAGGTACCTGTGAGTTCAAGGTCATGCTTGTTTATGAGTTCCAGGCTATCCAGAGCAATACAGGGAGATCCTGTCTAATAAAAATTTTAAAATACAATAATACAGTATGGGCAGCATTGGACCAGTCTAGCTGCCATTCGATCTCATTGCTGGAATACACCCAGTGTGAGCTTCTATATGGGGGATATCTACCCAAGAAACCACTGGGCTTTTTTGAGGAAGCTGGTGTAATGACAGAGCTCTGCCTGTGACTTGTATGTCTCTGAGTGGCACCATGATCCGCACATCTACCTGGCAATAGCCTTGAATAACCAACCTGTGGGCCCTGGCTACCTAGCAGGCCTGAGTGCCTCCTTCCAAATCAGTCCCCTGCCAAAGTGTCTATGGCCCAAGGTATGTGTTCAGGACATACTCTGCCACCATCCTTTACCTCCTGATGTTCCTGTCAGAATTTGTTCTCAGCTTGTCAACACAAATACCAGCACAGTGGCTTCAGTTGAGATGGGTCCTATTTCTGCCCTCTGGCTAGCCATGTGGCCTTGGGCAAGCTGACTTTCTAGGGCCACTGCACTGATTTAGTGACCAGATAATGAGCACAAGGGTGAGAATGGTGAATAGCAAGTAGTCATCCTCTCCAAGGGTTTACTGTCACAGGTTGGGGTCAGTGTCTGGTCTGTGTGGTTACTTGCATGGTGCTCATAAGTGCATCTCCCACAGCTGGCATGTGGCCAGGATGGGCAGCTGAAGGGCTTTGCAGTACTGGAGTACGAGACAGCAGAGATGGCAGAGGCTGCACAACAGCGGGCAGATGGCCTGGCCCTGGGTGGCTGTCACCTACGTGTGTCCTTCTGTGCTCCAGGTCCCCCTGGCCGCAGCATGCTGGCAGCACTCATTGCTGCCCAGGCCACGGTGAGTAGGGGTACCCCCTGGACACCAGTGTCTCCTTTTCATGGCCTCTGCTTTGAGCCTTCCTGTGGTTCTCTCCTCAGGCTCTCAATCGAGGCAAGGGACTCCTGCCTGAGCCAAACATCCTGCAGCTATTGAACAACCTGGGCCCATCTGCCTCCCTCCAGCTGCTCCTCAACCCTCTGCTGCATGGAGGCACCAGTGGCAAGCAGGGTAAGATGGGCCACACATGATTGTAGGGGTATCTTGCAGAGGCCATTCTTACCATGTTGGTAGCTGTGACATGAGGATGGAGGTCCCTAAAGGGAGCAGAACTTGCAGCAGGAAAAGACCCACCGTTCCCTGCATGGGCCCTTCAGTACCATCCATCACTTCTGAGAACTTGTTGTGCTGGGTAGTGGATTATCACAGAGCATCCATGTTTCGTTCCAGGCCTCTTGGGTGCACCCCCTGCCATGCCACTGCTTAGTGGGCCTGCCCTGTCTACTGCACTACTGCAGCTAGCCCTGCAAAGCCAGAGCCAGAAGGTAACAGCCTCACAGTGGGGACCATGTACCTTTTCTAGTCCATCCCTTATATCAGAAGTTAGATTTCCCTCTGCTCTGGAGATATGTGTGCTCTTCCCAAAGTGAATGTGCGTAATAAAGCCCAACCTTGTGCAGTTGGGGTGTAGTTACCCTTGGCCAGCATTGTTCTGTGATGAGCAAGGGCCTGGGTGCTAAGGACTATCATTGTATGTGTGTGACAGTGGTGGAACATGGAGTGACAGCCCTGGCGTGGTGTTTCCCATACAATCTCTAGTGTATGGACAGGGCCTGGCATTTGGGAACCCATAGGTCACATGAGTAGGTGGTGGGTGGGGTCACGGGTGCTGGGAGACTCGTGTGTGTGTGTGTGTGTGTGTGTGTGTGTGTGTGCGCGTGTATGTGTGTGTGCGCGCGCACACACACGCACTGAACTAAATGGTGAAGTTCAGAGGTCTGGGCATGATTGCAGAAGCAGAGGTAGGGACTGGGTTATTCTTGACGTGCTGGGCATCGTGACTGCCAAGATTGGGAGGCCCATGTCTGCTGCCTAGACCACAATGTTCCCGCCTCTAGCCAACTGTACTCTGTTCTAGAAGCCTGGGATCCTGGGAGACTCACCTCTGGGTACCCTCCAGGCCGGGACCCAACCTGCCAACTCCCTCCTTGGGGAGCTGTCTGCAGGTAAAGTTGCCACGCCACCTCTCTAGAGATACTGTCCTACCACTGCCCTTCCCCAGTGGATTCTGTGTACCCTTGGGCAGGCCACCTAATTTATCTGCGTCATTCTCTTGTTTCTTTGGTGCCCACCTCATAGGGCAGCTAGGAGTGTCTTAAATGCTGATGCCCAAAGAGACCTTGAGTCACTAACTACCTCTAGGGTACAGGGTTGTTGTCCTTTCTCCCAGGACCATGGGTAGAGTGGCTCTTCAGGTCTGGGCCCTTAGCTGACACCTTCCTTCTTTCTTTAGGGGGGGGCCTGGCCCCGGAACTGCCGCCCCGCCGAGGGAAGCCACAACCCTTACTACCACCACTGCTGGGCCCTTCTGGGGGTGACCGGGAGCCCATGGGTCTGGGTCCCCCAGCATCCCAGCTCACTCCACCCCCAGCCCCTGTGGGGCTCCGAGGCTCCAGTCTTAGAGGTCTCCCGAAGGACAGTGGGCCCCTGCCAACACCCCCTGGGGTAAGGTGCAACCCTGTTTCCAGCTTCCCCTCCCTTTGAAGTCCCCTCTACCCAGGGCCCTAGCAAAAACAACCCTCCTGTTACAGGTCTCACTGTTGGGGGAGCCCCCAAAGGACTACCGCATCCCCTTGAACCCCTACCTGAATCTGCACAGCCTGCTTCCATCCAGCAACCTGGCAGGCAAGGAGACCCGGGGCTGGGGAGGCTCTGGGAGAGGCCGCCGCCCAGCTGAGCCACCGTTGCCCAGCCCTGCAGTTCCTGGTGGAGGCAGTGGTAGCAACAATGGTAGCAAAGCCTTCCAGATGAAGTCCCGCCTGCTTAGCCCCATTGCCAGCAACCGCCTGCCCCCTGAGCCAGGGCTGCCTGACAGCTATGGCTTTGATTACCCCTCGGTAAGTACTGGACTACCCTGTATTTTGCCTGTCTTGAGGGTGGCCCTTGGCATCTGAAGAGTTGGTCCATCTACAAACCATGCAGACTGAGGTTCCCTGGTCCGAACATCCCAAGTGTGAAATGTAGCTGGGGAGGTATAGGTCAGTCACAGGCATAAGGACCTGAGTCTCAGCCTCAGAGTCCACATGGATGGAACCAGGAGGGCTAGTATGCTTGTTAGCCCAGTTCTGAAGAAGCAGGGATAGACAGGAGGGCTAGGCCAATATATAAATTCCAGGCCAGTGAAGAGGCCCTATCTCAACTGGGTTTACTTATGAGGCAGCAAGATTGCTCTGAGTTCTAGGACAGCCTGGTCTACATAGCAATTCCAAGTGAACCATAGCAGTTTCCAAAAGGTGGACAGGCTAGGCCAATTAGTGGTTCAGTATATGAAGTGTGTAAGGACTGGAGAGTCCTCAGAACCAGTGTAAATGCTGGGCAGGTGTTGCAGTTTACTGTAATCCCAGTGAGTCTGAGGTGGAAAGGTCATTTCTGGGGGGAGCTGACTAGCTAGATGAATGGAATTGGCAAGCTCTGGATATTAGTGAGAAACCTTACTTCAGAGAACAAAGTGGAGAAAGATCCTAGAGTCACCCTCCATCCACCATACATACAGTGTGCAAACACATCAACAAACTATAGAATAAGGTGGATGTCTCCTGAGGAACAGCACCCAAGGTCATCCTCTGGTGCACGCACGCATGCACGCACGCGTCACAAGACAAAACCGAAGCATACTGTTAGCTGGATTCTGTGCCAAGCCCGGGAGGTGAAGGCAGAATGATCAGGAGTTCAAAGCTGGCCCGGTTACATGAGGCCCTCAAAATCAGGAAATGAAAATAAAAGGATGGCTTGGTGGTGGTGGCACACACCTTTAATCCCATGGCTCAGGAGGCAGAGGACAGCCAGGACTACATAGAAACCCTGTCTCAGAAAAAAAAAGAAAACAAAATAGTAAAGTAAAAGGGCTGCTGAGACTCCCAGCTGTCCATCATGCCTACCTTAAAGCCTGAAGACCTACCTCCTGTTCCTGGTCCCACGTGGTAGACAGGAGAACCTATTCCCACAGGTTGGCCTTGCACCTACACATGGCTACATGTATGTTCAAAAAGTGCCAGGAGGTGGTGGCACACCCCTTCAGTCTCAGGACTCACAAGGCAGAGGCAGGTGAATCTCTGTGACTTTAAGGCCAGCCTGATCTACAGAGTGAGTTCTAGCACAGCCAGGGCTACACAGAGAAATACTGTCTCAAAAATCAAAAATAAAATAAATTTTTTAAAATAGTATAAAATGTGTGTGAATTATATCTGAGACACTGGTGAATTTCTCGATGGACTTAAGGACGGTCTCCCCTTCCAATGTCTCTTGATGTGGTATTCCCAAATACAAGGCAACATAAGAGTCAGAAACACTCTTGGGTCCAGGCATTTGTGTCAAAGGTGCCTCAGCCACGTATATTTTCTCTGGTATCATGTAGATAGTCAGGAGTTTGTAGCTGACACATTCCCTTTTTTTGTTGTTGTTGTTGTTTTGTTTTGTTTTTTTGTTGTTTTGTTTTTCGAGACAGGGTTTCTCTGTGGCTTTGGAGGCTGTACTAGCTCTTGTAGACCAGGCTGGTCTCAAACTCACAGAGATCCACCTGCCTCTGCCTCCCGAGTGCTGGGACTAAAGGCATGCGCCAACACCGCCCGGCTCCCTTTTCTTAAATCTCCTGTCCGTGTCTCTTTCACACTTTAGTCCATGCTGGACTTTTTGTTTGTTTTGGGTTTTTTTTTTTTTTTTTTTTTTTTTGAGCAAGGCCTCATGTAGCCCAGGCTGGCCTCAACTCACTATGTAGCTGAGATGCCTCTTGATGTCTTATCCTCTTATCTCTACCACTTGAGTGCTGGGATCTCAGGCATTCACCATCACACCCAGTTTATATGATATTGTGGAAGGAAGCCAGCCTCGGTCCCTAGAGAAAGCCCTTAGCATGTTATCTGTCTGTCCACCTTTCCCATTGTGAGCACAGTGCATAGTCATTTCACAGCACCCATTCTTGGAACTCAGGCACACCTGCCCCCACATCTGCTTTCCTGTCCCACTGAAGCCCCGAAGGCCCAAGTGTGGGTCATAAATCCCTAGTGTTAAATTGTGTGGAACTTACCCAAGGTAAGGTTTGCAAACATCCAACACCTCACACCCATCCTGTCCCCCCACTCACACCCCATGCTTTGCCTCTTTAATTTTAGGATGTGGGACCTCGACGGCTCTTCTCCCACCCTCGGGAGCCAGCCCTAGGGCCTCATGGACCCAGCCGACACAAGGTAAGAGCCAAGACACCATGTTCTGCGGCCTAAATATAGTACTGGCTGTGTACTAAAGTGGATATGGCAGTCAGCAGTAGCTGTGTAACAAGAAATACCATTTTTGTTTTTGTTTTTCGAGACAGGGTTTCTCTGTGGCTTTTGGAGGCTGTCCTGGAACTAGCTCTTGTAGACCAGGCCGGTCTCGATCTCACAGAGATCCACCTGCCTCTGCCTCCCAAGTGCTGGCATTAAAGTCGTGCACCACCAACGCCCGGCCGAAATGCCATTCTTTCTTTCTTTTTTTTTTTTTTTTTTAAAGATTTTATTTATTCATTGTGTATACAACATTCTGCTTCCGTATATATCTGCACATCAGAAGAGGGCACCAGATCTCATAATGGATGGTTGTGAGCCACCATGTGGTTGCTGGGAATTGAACTCAGGACCTCTGGAAGAGCAGTCGGTGCTGTTAACCTCTGAGCCATCTCTCCAGCCCCAAGATGTCATTCTTTCATTGCTCAACTCCACAAACGTTTTTCTTTTTCTTTTCTTTTGACTCAGGGTTTCTCTGTGTAGCCCTGGCTATGCTGGAACTTCCTCTGTAGACCAGGTTGGCATATGCCACCATCACCTGGCTTCTACAAATTTTTTGAGGCAATCTTGCTGTGTTGCCCAATTCAAATTTCTAGGCTCAAGCATTTATTTCTCTTCCTGGGGGCAGTGGGTTGTTCCTGGGAGCTCACCAGGGACTCACCCTTGGCCACACACATAGTAGTCAGTGGTCTGTTGAAGTGAAGGTCACTGGGTTCAGGGTAAGCCCCACAGGTCCCCAGAAGAGCAACATGACCAAGCCTAGTTGCATGAGCGTGCGTGCGTGTGTGGTTTCTACCATTATCCTCCTCACTGGGCTGGACTTTTCTCTGCAGATGTCCCCCCCACCTAGCAGCTTCAATGAGCCTCGGAGTGGTGGAGGAAGTGGGGGACCCCTCTCTCATTTTTATTCCGGTTCACCCAACTCTTACTTCACCAGTGGCCTACAGGCTGGCCTCAAGCAGAGCCACCTCAACAAGGTGAGGAGCCTGCCCCACCAAGGACTGGGCCCTGTGTTTCCATGTCTTGTCTCTAAGGGCTTTGTCATCCAAGGTGCCTCAGATACCGCTCCATTGGTGGTGGGGCTCACAGTTTTGCTCATGGTGGAATGGCAATGGGCCACTTGATTCCCTCTTGTGTGTGTGGAGCCTAACACTATGCAGCTTCCCCTCATCTCAAGCTCACCTAAGATGTGGGTGGTCTCATACCCAGAGAATAGAGGAGAAACAGTTCCATCACCACCAGGCCTTGTAGCTCTGGGTGGCAGGCACAAGGCTAGAAGTGGGCTCAAGATTTCCTCCAGGGGTGACACCCCACCACTTTGATTTCCTCTAGGCTGTTGGTTCCTCCCCAATGGGCTCCAGTGAAGGGCTCCTGGGCCTTGGCCCTGGGCCCAATGGTCACAGCCACCTGCTAAAGGTACGGGCAGGGGGAGGGGTGGCACCGGGCTGGGGAGCCCTGGCCCCTAAGAGGCCCCTGACCCTGCCTCCCCTGCCATCTGTCTCCAGACCCCACTGGGCGGCCAGAAGCGCAGTTTTTCCCACCTGCTCCCCTCGCCTGAGCCCAGCCCAGAGGGCAGCTACGTGGGCCAGCACTCCCAGGGCCTCGGCGGCCACTACGCGGACTCCTACCTGAAGCGGAAGAGGATTTTCTAAAGACGTCGGCGCCAGAGATGCTCCAAGGGCCTGCACCGAATTGCTTTTGGGTTTTTCTGGTGTTTGTGTTTTTGTGGGATTTTATTTTTATTATTTTTTTTAATATCCTTTCTTTGGGTAATAGAGAAATCTCTGAAAAAGACTTTGCTGACCAACCAGCCGGAGCTCAAGGAATGTGGGGGTGTCTAGGGGCCACACCTGTGGGCTTGCTCCTGGAGCCAAAACCCTGCAGCCTTAAGAGAGAGGGGCCCGGCCTGCTCTCTTTCCCTCCCCAACTCCTAGCCTCCTGTGCCCAGCTCTCCAGGCCTCCTCGCCTGCCTCGTCACTCCTGTGTTCTGGCCTTTCGAGTGCCTTTGGAGGTGTCCCTGACCTGTGAGGATCAGGGACAGTCCCCTTTTTTAAACTTAGACAATTGACTTTGATTTCCTTTTCTAATTTTTATTTTTTAAAACCAGGATGATGACCACATCCATCCCCACCCCCACCCCAGAAAAGCCCCAACTTTGATTCCTTCAGGGTCTGGCCTACCTGGGCCTCCATTCCACACTTCCGGTTTCCAACAGCTTAGCCCTATTTTCCCAATCATCTGCTGCAGGTATAGCTTTCTCATGCCCCCTTCCTGCCTGCCTACTCTGGCCAGTACCCGATCCCAGATCTCCAGCCCCCTGCCATAGTCTTCTTGCCTTCTGATGCCTTAAAGTTGGGCCACAGGTCCTACCAGGTCAGAGCTGCTCAGATGCCGAGCTCTGGAAGCTTGACTCAGGACCAAAGAGCTCTGACCTAGAGATCATCCTTTCTCCAGGGTGTCTGCCCTGTGGACAGAAGGCCAAAGCCTTGGTCTTGGCAAACCACCCCTTAGCCCAAAGCCTGGGTACAGAAAGCAGTGTTTTCTCTGGCTTCTTCAGTAGTCCCTGCTGCTGTTCATGAAAGCTGACCATTGTACCCAGGTCACTGGGCCTCTAACCATGTCCCTCTGATCCCAGATCACCACCGCCAGCCCTAGGCCAGACCACTGAAGCTGGCCTTCTCTCTGCCCACACAGACAAGCTCTACAGCCTGCCTGCTTGAGGGGACTGGGACTCTTGCCCCTGGCTAGCTGAGCCACCAGCCTCCCTCCCCAAACCTACTCCATGGGGGTGTCCCCTCATCCCTCCCCCAGACCTTTGCTGAATTAAAGTTTGTAAGTAAACGGTTTAAAACAAAACAAAACAAAACAAAAAACAGCTGGCTGTTTCTTGAGACAAACCATGGGCCCAGCAAGATAGCTCAGTATTACAGTAAGAACACATCACCAAGCCTGACAACCTAAGTTTTATCCCTGGGACCCAAATGATACAGAGCTGTCTCCCACAAATTGCCCTCACACGAACACAATCCCTAAAATTGCAGTGGGGCATGGTGGCACTGGCTTTTAATCCCAGCACTTGGGAGGCAGAGGCAGGAGAATCTGAGTTCCAGGCCAGCCTGGTCTGCATAGCAAATTCTACAACATTTCAGACTATATATAGAGAACCTGCCTCAAACCAACAAAAAATTGGGCATGGTGGCATATAACACTTAATTCCAGCAGAGGCAAGTGGCTCTAAGTTGAAGGCTTGCTTGGTCGGTCGTTGTCCTTGCAGAGGACTGGAGTTCGGTTCCTAGCATCCACACAGCCCTCTAACTTCTGGGCTTCGCAGGCACCAGGCACACACTTGGTTCTCATGCATACAAGCAGAACACATACAATAAGACTCAAAGCGTGGGGAGGGTGTGTCCAACCACAGTTCCAGGCCGGAAGTCAAGCTGGATCCTGGTACATCACCTCTGACCTCATACTGCGTTCAAACACTGCGATTACAGTCGCAGCCTACGCACTGAGCATGCTCGGTCTTCCGGTCACGTGGCCTGTCATGGCCGCCTCCATGGCCCGCGGCGTGAGTGCCCGGGTCCTGTTGCGGGCCGCCGGGGGATCTTGGGGTACCTGGGCCGGACACGTGGCAGTGACGTCCAGGACTCTCGGGACGACAGGTACCCAGGCCCGGGTTGGTGTGCGGCTGGCAGCGAGGCCGCATCCGCTCACCCGCTCGTGTTTTCCAGGACAGCGGCGCGCAGGCGAGGACGAGGCAGACGGCCCGGAGCTGCCCCGGGACGCGTGAGTGCCCGCCACGCCACGCCCTGCCCCGCCCCGCCCCGCCACTGCGGCCGGCTAGCCTCGGCTCACAGCGCCTGCACCCTGTCTGTCCCCAGGGTCAACGTGGTCTTCGTGGACCGCTCTGGTCGGCGGATCCCCGTGAGGGGCAGAGTCGGGGACAATGTTCTTCACCTGGCCCAGCGCCACGGGGTGGACCTGGAAGGTAGGTGATACGGAATTGGGGTGATCCTTGCCACTCTTTTATTCCTTTTTGTATTTTTGAGACAGGGTCTCAAATAGCCCAGGCTGTCCTCGAATATCAGAAGGTGGCTTGGAACTTCTGATCCTTCTGCCTTCACCCGCTGGTGTGACAGGTGTGCACCACAATAACACCATACCCAGTGTTTTTGTTGGAGTGGTATGAGTGGATCGGTGATCAAGACTCACGCCTTAACTCGGTCTGTCCAGAAACTTAAGTGTGTAATCCAAGCTAGCCTGCAACCCATTACAGTGATCCTCCTGCCTCCACTTTCTGAGTATTTCGACTAGAAGCATGTGCTACCACACCACCATATTGCGGGTGGGGAGACTGAGATAGACTCCATGTAACTCAGGCTGTTCTGAAACTAGCCGTGTAACCAGGCTAGGCTCAAACCCACTGTAGTGATCCTCCTGCCTCAGCTTTCTCAGTTCTGGGGTCACAGGCTGTCTCTACTGTTTAGCCACATCTTACTTTGAGCTAGTAGGATGTCACTTACAAAAGACTGCCAACCTGAGTTCAATTCCCTGAGACCACATAAATGTAGGAGAGAAGCTGACACCACCTCCGTGCTGAGGCAGGCACACACACGTTGTGTACACAGTAATAATACTTCTTCTTTTTTTTTTTTTTTTTTTGGTTTTTCGAGACAGGGTTTCTCTGTGGCTTTGGAGGCTGTCCTGGAACTAGCTCTTGTAGACCAGGCTGGTCTCAAACTCACAGAGATCCGCCTGCCTCTGCCTCCTGAGTGCTGGGATTAAAGGCGTGTGCTATCAACGCCTGGCTAATAATACATTTTTAAAAAGATTTTTATTTATTATGTATACGACATTCTGCTTCCATGTATATCTGCACACCAGAAGAGACACCAGATCTCATTATAGATGGTGGTGAGCCACCATGTGGTTGCTGGGAATTGAACTCGGGACCTCTGGAAGAGTGGCCAATGATCTTAACCTTTGAGCCATCTCTCCAGCCCCCGGTAATAATACATTTTAAAGTGGAGAGAATAATAGAACTGGAAAGTTTGCTCAGTGCTGAAGAGTACATATGGCTGTTGCAGACCTCTGTTCTGTTCCTCCCACCCACTCTATGCCAGGCAATTCACAACCTCTGTAACAATAGCTCCAGGAGTTCATACTCCCACCTGACCTCCGTGGGCATTTCAATGTCATGTACAACATACACAGACATACAAATAAACACTTAAAATTAAGAATGTAACACTAGCCTGGCATTGCTGGCGCATGCCTTTAATCCTAGCACTGGGAGGCAGAGGCAGAGGCAGGCAGATCTCTGTGAGTTGGAAGCCAGCCTGGTCTCCAGAGCGAGTACCAGGATAGGCTCCAAAGCTACACAGAGAAACCCTGTCTCGAAAAAAAGGAATGTAACACCAACACTAAACTAAGTCTTGGTCTTGGAGCAGCCCTTACTGAACATTTGCTAGAAGCTACTAGAATATGCGCTCTCTTGTAGCTTGTAGATTCTTGCCTTTGATCCCTGCATTCTCTATCCCAGCCACTGGCTGCTGTTTTGTGGGAGATGGTATTGAGACAGTCTCTGTGCAGCTCAGACTGACAGAGACCTCTGCTTCTCCAGTGCTGGGATCATAGGTACGTGGCTCTGTCCCTCTGCTGTTCTTCAGGCCCCAGAGCTCAGGACTATCCCCAGCCTGATATACTGTTTTCTGTATCACAAGTGTTTTCCCAGCACGTTGCTAGGCTCCTCTTTCTTCAGATCTGACTGTCTGGCATCCTTTCACCCCAGCGTAAGCCCCATGTCCATGTCTGGCCATATGTCTAGTGGTCTGATAGAATTTATGTTTCTTTTGCTCTTTGCCCTCTGTCCCATAGTGAGCCACATTTATATACCTGGGGCTACTCAAGATCCTCAGAGTATGATGAGGGCCAGTTCCTTATGATAGCTTTATGAATAGAGGAAGCAATAATTCCACCTTGCAGAGAAGAACACTACACCATAGGTGGGGTTCAGAAGCAAGAGTCACATGGCAAAACATGATGCAAACACAGAGCATTTTAGTCCTCTCATGCTGCTCGTTTGTAAATAGCAATGAGTATTTTCTTTACTGTACTTAAGTGTGCATTCCTATGCCTCTGTAGAAGTTAAAGGACCACTTGAGGGACTCAGGTCACTCCTTCCATATTGCTTTGCTAGGGATTGAACTTGGGTCTTTAGGCTTAGTGGCAATCCCTTTACCCAATGAGTGCATTCCAGGCAAGCCAAGGATTTTTGGTGAGACCCTATCATTTTTTTTAAAGCACCTGGCTGTGCTTTTAATCCCAGCTCTCAGGAGGCAGAGGCAAGAGGATCTCTCTGAGTTCAGGACCACCTTGGTCTACAAGAGCTAGTTCCAGGATAGCCTCCAAAAGCCACAGAGAAACCCTGTCTTGAAACCCCTCCGCCCCCACCGCCCCCCCCAAAAAAAAAAACAAGCCTGGTGTAGTGGCTCAGGCCTTTAATCCCAGCATTCGGGAGGCAGAGGCAGGCAGATCGCTGAGTTCAGGGCCAGCCTGGTCTACAGAACTAGTTCCAGGACAGCTAGGGCTGTTACACAGAGAAACCCTATCTCAAAAAACAAAACAAAACAAAAAAGACAATGTCTGTTTAGATTCGTACCCAATCTGGGTAACTTAGCAAGAGTTCCTGTCTCAAAAATAATGGAATCATAAAGACTAATTATGAAAAATTATGTCTCAAAAAAATGATGAGCATCCTTGTGTGAATACTAGCTACTGTGTGTAACAAAGTGACTGGTCCTCTGTCTTGTCACACCAGGCTCAGCCTAACAGGAACTATAAGCCCAGGCATAAAGGAGCTTAGGTTTTCATTGATAGACCAGTTGGAAGAGTCTGTGCTAGGTGAATGGAATAGGGGCCTGACTAAAGCTTCTGATCCAAAGCTGGCAGGTGTGGCTGAGCATGGTGGCTCACGCATCTGATACCAGCGCTTGGCACAGAGGCAGGCGGTTCTCTGATTTGAGGCCAGCCTGGGCTACAGAGCAAGTTCCAGGACAGCCAAGGCTACACAGAGAAACCTTGTCTCAAAAACCAAACCAAACAACACCCCCCCCAAAAAAAAAAAAAGAAAGAAAGGTTCAGTGCCTGATTAGATTCAAACCCAGCCTGAATAACTTACCAGGAGTTTCTGTCTCAAAAATTAGAAATTTGGGAGGATGAGGAGGTGGTTCAGTGGGGCAGGGCACTTGAAGCAGTAGCCTGACGACCTGATTTCAATCCTCAGGACCAGGTACAGGTGTGTGGAGAGCACCAGCTCTATAGAGCTGCCCTTTAACTTCTATAAAGATGTCGTGGCAATGCTGCCTCCTATCCCCCCTTACCCCAAGCAGGCATACTCAATAACAAATTGTACTTAGAAAAGGTTTTTATTTTAATTTTTTTTTTTTTTTTTTTTTTTTTTTTTTTTTTTT